AAGTAGACTATTGATTAAAAAAAATATTTAGTGCAGTTTTACACAATACAAATTAGACAACTCTTGATTAATCAATGAAAAAAATATTTATAATTATACACCCATTGACGTTGTTAAGTGTAATATATAGTTAACATTAAAAGACATAATAATGACGTAATACAAACGTCATAACCTTACCCTAGTAATTTGCATAAGCAGGTAGTATTGTAAGAGTGGGTCGTTAACCGAGCAGTTAAAATGTATGTTAATACCTACATTTACACTTCAAAGTGGTGTCTATAAACTATAATTAGAATTAATGCCTAATTCATTTATATTATACCTGTAGTAAAATACCTTCACGACTGCTATGCCGGATAAAGGTAGTCAGAGGCATTGTCAATTGTTCATCGTGGAGAGAGCAATATTTACATTTCCACATTTCCTTGGGTACAATTGAAATTGAGCCTACGGCCTTCTCTCTGATTAAATATGGTTCTTTACAGATTGTACGTGGTTTTTTTTATTTATAAAGATTGTACGAAAAATATATTAATTTTAAAAAGAAACTTAATGTTAATAAGCTATTAAAATGTCCTCAAATAAATTTATATCACAGTATAGAATACTTTGATTGTTTTTCTGTTTATATTGGGTTTATACTCACGACCTTTGACACGACTTTAAATCTTTGTAGCAACTATTAGGCTCTTATTGTATTACTTAGGTACCTAGTTTCCTTACAAATGCGTCACTGACATCCTGAAATAACAACAGAACCGCAGCGAGACAGTAAACTAACGATTTTAATAAGTAATCGATAATGCTACTAATATTAAATATTAAGATTTTGTATCACTAGAGGCACAAAGGTCAAAGTATAAATTGGGAGGCCGGCACATTGATGTGACTGAACAATCAATTAGCCAACTCCACCATGACAAAGGTCAAGCCATTTAAACTGATGTCCATATATTATTGGAACGTGAATTGCCTCATCAAATAATTAATAAGTAGATATATGTAAGTAACATAGGTAGGTACCTATGTGGGTACTGGATGTTTATTTCACTATTTCAAGTGATGAGGGATTTTTTTATGTAACTAAAATTGCAAACAAGCTGACTGCCAACGTGACAAAAACTGCAGCTTCAATTCTTTAAAAAAAAAACACCCATATGCCAAAGAAAGCTCAATAGCACAATCAGCCAGTATAGCCTAATTACTGTTTAAGTACTACAATTTTTTTTATTTATAAATTAAGCCATAAGTCATAAGTAATATGACTTAAATTATAAATAAAAAAAAATCAACGATATAAAAACATCTAACGATAATGTAGCTCTCTCGGCATATGTAAGAAGTTTATTTATCCATAACAAAGACAATATCAAATCTATCTGAACACGATTCTTGTTATCCTCTGTTGTCTAGCGGTTTAGCACACTGCTTTGCTTCCGTTAGTTGCGGGTTCGATTCCTCACACGACATAAACATTTGTATTTATGAGTACGATTTACATATATACAATCAATGAGGTCTGAGTATGCGGTCTGAGTGTTTTCTATCTAGGTATATTTTATTATTTATGTTAGAAACATGTATTTAAGTACTCTACTTATATTGGGGCTGGATGGCGCTGTGTAAAGTGTTCAGGGATATTTTTAGGTACATAATTTTTTATCATTTAAACAGAATGATGGGGCGTTTTGTAATTCGCCTAACGACGCCGTTTACAAATGGCTGAAGTATGCAATAATATTTTTTGTTATTGCCTTAAGGGTGCCACAAAATACGTGTAGATTAATTTGCGGGTAATAAAAATAACTAGCAAAAAATATATTCTATACGCTTAACGTTTAGAGTTATAAAATAATATGCTTTTTTAGGCCGAATATTTATCATATTTTTGATGAAATTATAGTATGGGATCAAAATAAATATATGTAGTTAACGTATTACTATTACTTAAATAAATTTAATAAATATCATAATAGAAAACACTTCTTCAAATGTGAATATTATTCATATACAATGTGTTCATAACAATGAAATTATCAATAATTAAAGTATATTAAAATTGTAATAAATTCCAAATCTAAAACAGGTTTTTCATATAAAATCACCAAAAAACATAGAAATCGACAAAGAATTATCCTTCTTTTATGAAGTAAGTTGAGATGAGAACCTGTTAACTCTAATAACATTAATACTAATAATCCATTTAGACAGCAGCGTTTGGAAATCATTTTATGATTGTATAAAGCTGAATCGTATAAGATGAGAAATGAGCTAATAATGAGCGTAACTGACTCAACACAACTGGTTGATTTATGATCCAGCTCAGTACCTGTATTATTCGAAATCTAGATTGATTGAAACCGTTATGAAATGTACAATTATTATACTCATCTACTCATAATAAATGCATCTATTAACAATTATTGAAATATAACTGCTTTTTTACTCTTTACTTTTAAATTTTTGTTCAATTGAATTAGTTCTTTAATATTTATTTAATAATATTGGTTACATTATATTGTATAACATGAATATGAAAATAACCATACTAACTACTAACCACATTATGTGAAAAAGAGAAAATTTAGTTATCTTTTTTGTAATTTTTAATTTTATATAATGTGACATATTTTTATTTTTTTCTATTTATATCGAGTAATATTATAATAACAAAAGATTTGACTTTGTTTTTACTATGGAAACACTCAAACCTCAATTTTTATTTAAATTTGTTTATTTTTTCTTGTATAAATAATAACTTTGTTATCGAGTAGGTATAATATGTATTTAAAATATTATGAAAATTATACCCTTTTCATTTCTCATCTTATATAATTCAGTTTTATTCAATCATAAAATGATTTCCATATATAGCTGTCTTAATGAATAAATATTACATATATTGTTAAAAATATTATGTAGGAGCTACTCGCCCCGGCTTCGCTCGAGTGTACATGTATTACCTCTCTAGAATCACTCTATCTTTTAAAAAAAATAGTTGAAAATCCGTTGCGTAGTTTTAAAGATTTAAGCATACATAGGGACAGACAAACGGCGACAGCGACTTTATTTTATACTATGTAATAATATACCCAAATTTTAATGAATTTTTGAAGGGCAAAGCTATCAATATATTCATTAAGTACAAAGCAATTTGGTACTTGTTCGATTCACGAAATAAAATACGTTTTTACGGGCCTTTGTCCACAAAAAGCTTTGACCGTCGGTTCCAAACATTTCGCTGTATCAAGTTGCAATGAACAGAGTTTTTCCAGGGCGCCACGCAATTTTCATGTAGCTATTTGGACCCTTCATTGTACACTTCTTGTGAGTTAATACGTGCACAATACGAAATCAATTGAGTATTGCTGAACTTTATATCCTCGGGTATTTTTAAATTCTATCAGGTGACCCTTGTCCATATTGTATTTTAAAGTTGACTGAACGAGAGGGAAAGTAATAAATTTAAATATTTGAGTTCATATTGAATAAGCTCCACATATGATACTTTGTTTAGGCAGATTTTTTTTTACATCTAGGTCGTTTTTATATATTCCTATGTGATACAGATTTATTTTTAAATTCAATTAGGAAAAATGTAATGACCATCGTAAGCTATAGATTTTTCAAAAGGAAACAATGTAATCAGTAATCGTAACCCGAACAGAACAGTCCCCACAAGCAGCATCTATCCATTATACAGATCGTAAAGAAACAAGGATATAGACAAAAACTAGATAAAAAATATTGCATATCAACATTAATCAAGACCTTCTTTTGTTTATAAGAAAAATTGCCAACTAAAATTATATGTTCATATAAGAATAGTACAAAATCAAATAAATATAGCTGGGGAATATCATCTGCTGATAATTTTTGTTTATACTCTTTTTTAAATGATCTTTATCTGTAATATATGTTTATTATACAAGCTTGAAAAAACGGCCGAGACACGAAGGAAAAGTACATTAAATATTCAAGATGACTTCACTCAAAGGACATATTCTCATGTATTAGGAATATGTAATCTCATGATTTCACTATATGGAGTGTCCCGAAGCGAATCGAAAAACGAGTCCATTCTATACTCTAATGCTTGGTTAGCGTATGGATATTTCGATATCTATGTAATATTTTTTTTGTGTCAATTATCACCTGTGTTCTTTTCATTAATGATGTGTTCTTTTCATGAAGGACGCGTGTAGGTATAAATAATTATTTAATGTAGAAAAAACGGAGCACGATGTCTGATTCTTTTGACATTTTTATTATAACAAAAATAAAATATTTTTATTTTTTGAAAAAATGATTATTAGTGGCAAGTTACATATATCAGAAGTCCAGTAAGTATCTTGACCGGAATATTCATTCAAAAGGTGACTGATTGGTGGACTGGTGATTATAGGTATCTAAAGTCGTCTGAATTATAGAATTATAGTCGTTGTTTACTTGACCTATAGTAAAGTAAATTACGTAAAAAAATGTTAAATATGTGGAAAATGAATTAACAAACCACCTAACCAAAATTTTATAGACGCTTTTTAAAAGAACCACCTGATTGATAGCATTTAGTTATTTAAGAATTGTATTTTATATATATTTATTTAGGGTCCAACCCATGATCAGGAACGCCAGTTTTATAAGAATTTTCATACAGGTACGACTCTTTAAGTGTTCAATACGAGTACATTTTATTTATCTTACAAGTTTATACGAGATTATGATCTTCAGAAATTCATCAAAATACGAAAATATAAGAGATGAAGGTTTGATTTTTCAAAAATTTTACGTTGTGCTACCTCTTATAATGAGTGTTAATTTAATTTGAATTCAATTTTTTTGTTCGTATGTAGCCAAATCTAGTATTCATACTGTAGTGCTGGGGTAAAATCGGGGAAAAACTGAAGAACTTTTTGTCCCGATTTTATCCCCACCATATCTGCTTCAACTTCGCCCCTGATTTTACTGTTGTGTGTAGCATGGCTATACCATCTTACCAAGTTGCCGGCGAGTCCTTAATTTTCTTTGTCGAGTACGTGAGTCGATACCTCGTCGAGCTTGCAAAGCTGCTTTCCTTCTGAGCCAGTGACCTCCGTCGTCTGCAACAAATATACAAAAATCAATACCTATTTCATATTTTAACAAAATAAATAAAGAGTAACACGTACGTGAAACCCCTGGTATTTCAGGCGTCCATAGACTACGGTAACCGTTTACCATCGATGGGCCGAATTGCTTGTTTGCCAACATCGTAGTGTAAAAAAAGTATCTTTTATTATTAACAATTATACATATTTTTTATTAATCATTTGGAATGAAACAGAAACAATGGTACTAGAATATTGATACAACATATTAGTGAAAACTGTATTCAAATAATTTTTAAAATAATTGGAATAACGAACAAGCTAGCAGTATCCGTCTAAGAACGACTATTTAAATTACAGAGATATAATAATTAAACAATTAAACATATAGGTATTAATCACAACAAGAAAGTTATTAAGTTCATACAACTGATAATAATATACTATTATCTAAAGACAAGTCACACAACGCTATCTAGACCCAAGCTAATCAGAGCTTGTGTTCTATATACTAAACAACGGATACAACTACTTACATACATATTTTATTTTGTAAATACATACACAAGTATTCATGGTATGATTAGCAGTACTGATAAAGGTGTATCTCATAAGTCATAATAGATAACATAAAATTCTCGCCAGACACCATCCTTGGCTGTGATCTTATAATAAAATTACAATTCAATAAATCCATAAGTTAATTAGAACTGGTATGAACTTTTATCGGTTTATGTTTTATTCCACTAATAATCCGTATCATAAAACATAAAATAAAAAACTTTTGAAGTAGCACTTTAACGGTGCATATATATTGATTTTCATTAATGATATTACAATACAATAACTGTGCATATAAGTAAATAATAACTGGTACGATCTTATATCGGTTTATGCTTCATTATCCTATATTAATATGTTGAATTTTTAATAATAGCGGAATAAATCGTATCTTAATGGATAATTTATTATTTATTTATTTAAAACAGAAAACATGTGTACCAATTCACTGAAGAAACATTCACAGAAATATAAAACTGTGTTGCGAATATCGACGCCTTCCACTGACTATATATAATTCCAAAAAATACATGCTATGACGTTACCCATATCACGTTTCTCTAATAAAATTTACAATATACATGTATTTAAATTTACCAAAACAAAGAAAATGTAACTAACAATCAAAAAGAAAGAAAAAATAAAAAAAGTACCTCACAAAAAGAGCCTTTGCCTGTATTAGATCTGTATATGTGTAAGCATTATGTATTCGTGTTTGTGTGAGAGAGAGGGTGGTTTATGATTACTATACATTATTTTTGAAACTACAATATTTACGATAAAAGTCGAGTTAATAAAGTTTTAAAAAATCTTTAGATTTTTCATAACATAGGTTTTGGAGTTATTTAGGATACAACAGCTTACATTTGTAGTAGGAAAGGGGATACATCGCATATCTAGTACAATACTGGTGTAATTCAGATTTTTTTTTTTAATTAGATTTTAATACCACAGTAATAAAGTGGACTTTCCAAAATTTGTAATTTTTGAGTTATGCCAGTATTATACTAAGTGTGTGATATGTTCATTTCTTTATTTAACTTATGCAAAGTAGAACTTATGGGGTAATAATGACTACTAACTATTGCAGTACGAAAAGGATTTAATTAAAAGTTCTACGTCTTACATTTATATGATTTCAAACATATGGAAACTGAAAATGTTTACGACGCGTAATTTTTAGCACAAATAGTTGACGGACTATCTGTCCATAGACCTGGCAAATTGAATACAGTCCTTCAGTTGGAAACAGAATACAATACAATAAATCAGCCTATAAGTTAATTATGTGTAGTACAAACTTTTGTCGGTTTACGCTTATGATTGACTATTAATATATACTATAATATAATACCAATAAAATATGTAAGGCGATACAAAGGTATGTCTTTCATATTGTACTTTACAAAGTTATATGTGATATACCATTCAAATTACATGTAATGCCGTGAACATGTAACGCAGTAGTTACACGATTTCTGGCGCAAACTTATTAACTTCAAGGAAAGAGTGCAATTGCAAGAAAGCCTTATAAATTAACTAGGTTACACAATCTATATTTAAAATGTTAATCAAGGCATGTAAAGTTCATTTGGTTTCAAATTGATTGTGATTTAGCAGTATACTGCATTACCTTGGCCTAATAACCAGAGATCGATTCAAACATTGTCTTTTATCATTATATTATTTACAATTCATTTTATTAAACATATGAATTTTTCGATAAATAGCTAACAGCTGTTAAGGAAATTTATTTTTAAATATTTTCTGATTGTCTATAATATAAAATTTAATTAATGTAAATGAATTAAATTGTATATTAACGTTATATTTTATGTACATATTGTCAAAAAATAAAATGATTGACTGATTGTTTGATTAAAAACTGTATATACTAAGTAACCTGGCTAACGTTATTTATCTATATATATAAAGAAAATCTATATATGTAATGAAAATAAATAATATATGTAATAAATTAAAGACAAAACAAAAAAAAAGACTTATTATATAGTTCAGAGACTGAAGAAGGAAGTAATTTTAGACTTTGCCTTTGCAGTCAAGACTTATTAACTGCAAAGGCTTACTATACTGTAAAATAATTCTTGGCAGACATACTGTAGGAGCTGTGCAGATTTCAATTTCGTCCTAACAAACTGACAGACTAAAATATGCAGTGTCATATATGAAATTACTACGCTCTTTAAACAAAGTTCATGTATGTATTATTAATTTGTTATGTATATGTAAAATTATTATTATATATGCATGTACAATTATAAATGAAATTTGTTTTCCTGTGTGTTTGGGCGCACTAAACTCAGAAATGGCTTAACAGATTTGTGTGCGGTTTCGCACTATTATATTGTGTTACTACATTAATTTAATATAAAATGTAATGTTTATTTTATTTCAAACGTATTTCAACGAAAATCTTTTTAAAATTAAATTATTGTTATTCCAAATAAGACGGGTACGGAGATTCAAGTTACAACAATATTAAAAACGGTATTTGTATGTGTATGTAGTTTTTTAATGGATAAATATAGAGCAATGTACCCGCCTGCACTAAGGGTAGGTATAAGCTTACAACTATATATTAGTAAATACTGCACCTCCGTTCAAATTTCGGTCCTTCGGTCAAATCGGATAAGCCGTTTCTAAGGATAACGCGCACAGAGATACAGACAAACAGACATAATTCTAGCAATAATTGTTTTGGGCTATATTACGTTGACACAGTACCTACTATAATAATATTTTATCTAAAATATATTCTATGTTATGTAAATATATAATAATAATAATCTCAGGACAATTCACAGTTGTATTCTGATAACACAAGCTCTGCTTAGCATCGGACTAGATGGCGCTGTGGGAATTATACTTAGAGATTATTATGTGTTACTATTGTATGTGTAGATATACATACGTTTAACAAAAACAATATGTAAATTATTCTACAGAATCTTAGAATAATATACACATGTGGGTATTGTAAACAGAAATTGGGGGCATGTTTGATCTTATGTATGCCTCATGTCTTGGTGACATACGTACCTACATATATGTAGTAACAATACTGGAAGCCAGTAGGGTTACAGCTGGTACAACTACATGAAAATATGATAAGCGGGCCTTTAGTAATTAAATTGTTCTGGTAATATGTGTAGGGTAGATATATTAATATTATGAGGACTGATTTTTCTTATAAATGGCTATATGTATGTTGGTTCGAATCCAGCTAACTCTAAAAAAACTCTGACTCAATTTATATTTTTTAACTGTAAAAGAGATAGATAATTTAATTGCTTCAACATTTACAGTGTTAAGTACAAATCATCGCCTCATGTTCAGGAGGCATGTAAATTATAATTCTTAGTTAACTTTATTATTATAAAATAAAAGTTTTTTTTCTAAAATAAAAGTTGCGTTAGTTACTCCTTATATCATCAGCTACCTGCCAATAAGTCCCGTCAAAATCGGTCCAGTCATTTTAGAGATTAGCCGAAATAAACAGACAGACAGACAAAAATAGTAAAAAATGTTATTTTGGTGTATGTACCGTATTTATATACATATGCATGTACTAAAAACGGTTATTTCAATATTACAAACAGACACTCCAATTTTATTTATAAGTATATATTTGTATAGAACTGAAGCGTGAGTTATTTTTTTGCATTCCCTGCCACATTGTATTTAAATGTAGTCAGAGAAATGTATTTCACCACGACGTTCACAGGTGACTGGGTGTCTGAACACCATATCTAGGATTATAGGCGTGAAGGTATATTATTAAATTATCTGCAGATTACGGCTAGTATACTGCGTTCGTAATACAGAAGACGGTGAGCGAATCAGTATACAACCTAAGAGGTAGGTATCAAACCTAAGACGTCATGTTATCTCATTGTCAACTTAACACGTTCTTAAGTATCTACAATTGTGAACAAGCTACCAGCCCACCTAATGGTAAGTGGTAACCATCGCCTATGTACATGAACAGTAACCCTTGATGTCACCATATCCTGAAATTTCATTTTGATGAGGATACAATTATAAGATTAAACCTATTTCATTGAATTAGTATAGTCGGAATTCAATTTAATTATTTAATTCATTGCTTTACCACAGTAATGAATTAAGTAATGAAATGCAATTATATAAAGTAATGTAAATTCATTAAATAATAAAATTAAACAATAAATAATTTTAAATGTTGTACTTAATGATTTCACTTAAAATGAAAAATATATTTTGTGACAGTGGGTGCCCTGCTGTGTGGAAAGATTGCTCCCAATTTATATTGTCTCTTTGGAGTGGGTACTTCCATTAATCTAAAGTTTAGAAGTTACGCCAAGGATATAGTATCACGAAACAGATCCGGATTGAACGCGCGGGGCCCGGAGCAAATTACTTTGAGACATATGGTTTGGTGTAAGATTACG